GGCCACAGGGCTCCTGACAGCACAGGGTCCTGGCTGAGTGGGTGGGACCTGCAGCCCTGGTGGGGGCAGGGGAGGAGTAGCCAGGCCACAGGGCTCCTGACAGCACAGGGTCCTGGCTGAGTGGGGGACCTGCAGCCCTGGTGGGGGCAGGGGAGGAGGAGCCAGGCCATAGGGCTCCTGACAGCATGGGGCCCTGGGTACTCACCGGCACCTTCATCTTAAAGTCATCTCTGTTGAACTTGAAGGCGATTTCGGAGAGAGTCCGCTGGAAAAACCCCGTCGGGCGGAGAACAAGGACCAGCTGCAGGTTTGCTGGGAAAGAGGCCTGCGGGACAGGAGAAGGGCCTGAGCCATCTCGGTGGATAGCTGGGGCCACAGGGTCCCACCTCCACGGCAGCTGACCATGGGGGGCTCTTGTGCTGGTCATGACTGAAGATACAGGGCGGCTACGGTGTCACGGGGTGTCTCCAGGCCCAGCCCTGCAGAGGTGGGGTCTTCCCAGAGGCACGCGGTCACTGGGGAGCCCGACAAGCGTGAGTGTGTGCAGAGGAGGGAGCTGCACACTCACAGGGAGAACCTGTGAAGATGGAGGCGGAGAGTAGAGACGCTCCTGTGGGCGAGGAACCTCAGGGCCACCCCGTGGCCAATAGAGGGAGCCTGGACACGCTCCCTAGAACCAGCTCTGTGACCCTGGACCCCACACCCCAGCCTCCAGACGACAGAGAGTGGACTTCTGAGTGACCATCAATCTGTAGCACTTTGTTACAACAATCCAGGAAACTGGGGAAATGAGTCGAAAACAGCTGCAGAGAATAGACACTCACCACCTAACACAGAAATAAGACGTCTACACCCCAGCGAGCACACCCCCCGAGTGGTCACAGTGTGCCTGGTCACCACGAGGCGTGTCACTTTGGGGACATCACTTTACTTTCTGTGCCTCAGTTTCCCCACCTGGAAATGGGGATTCAGTGGGTCTGCCGTGTCACGCGTGGGGAGGGAGACATGGTCTGGCCGGTGCCTGGCAGAGTGAGACACAGCAGCACAGCCAGGCCGGACGCACACTGAGGCAGCAGGGTCCAGGTGCTGAGATCCAGGAGACCCAGGCCCACAGGGAATCTCTGAAGGCCGAGGCTGCTCTCTGGATGACCAGGCAAGAGACTCGCAGAACAGAGGTCAGAAAGAGCGCACAGCCCTGAGGTCTGAACACGGAGGACACTGAGACGGCGAGGACCCGACTCACCACTAAAGCTGACCCTGGGCCGGGCCTCACCAGACATTGGGCCAACGCTGGTGGCCCAGCCACACTGGCTGGGGGGACAGAGCTCTGGGCCTGTGAGCTGGAGTCTAGCAGGAGGTCAGAAGTGAATGACTGACGGCCCTCTCTCAGGACACTGGCCACACAGAGCTCTGGCCTGTGAGCTGGAGTCTAGCAGGAGGTCAGAAGTGAATGACTGACGGCCCTCTCTCAGGACACTGGCCACACAGAGCTCTGGGCCTGTGAGCTGGAGTCTAGCAGGAGGTCAGAAGTGAATGACTGACGGCCCTCTCTCAGGACATAGGCTTTTGCAGTGCCCTTTGAGACCCTGGACGAGGAGGCCACAGAGCCACCAGGACCAGAGGCTGTACCTCCTGGCCAGAACTACTCAAGTGGTTGGGCTCTCCCCGTGGTGTGTGACTCGGCAGTGAAACCAGGCCTGTCACTGTGCAGCTGACCCCACGGGACCACACAGATGCACCTGCAGGTGCCAGTGACTTGGACCCCCCATTTGTATCACAGCTGGAGAAGGGGCCGAGAATCACGACAAGAAACAGAACTGAGCAGAGTGTTGGGTGCCGAAGCCACGGGCAATGGTGGTCTTAAAGGCCACGGGTTTCCACCCAACATGAAAACAGTGTCCACTCTCTGGGCTGATTCTGATGGACTTGGGACGGGTGCAGGAGGTGAGGGCCGGAAGAGCCAACGAGGAGCTAGAATAGGTGCTGACTGGGTTCCAGAGACTGACGGAACGAGGGTACCCCAGGCCTTCAAGGCTTAGGCTTGGAAACAGAGACCCTGCCGTGGGAAGACTGTTTAGATGTCCTGGCCAAGCCAGACGCTGCGGGCRCACCCACGATCCCAGCACCAYGGGAGGCTGAGGCAGGAGGGTTCCAAGCTCCAGGGCAGCCTGGGCACTTGTGAGCCCGTGACTCAAGATAAGAAATGACAGGGTGGGATGTAACTTAGTGGTAGAGCACGTTTAGTCCTGTGAACACAGAAACAATCAAGCACTCTACTTTTCTTAGGGCTCAAAACCACATTTATGTTATATAATTTCAAATATGGCACCTGAAACCTAACCAGTTACATTTCTGATTGTACCAAAAATAACGAGTTTAAAAACACACCTTTGAAAGTCTGTGCCTCAGCGTTAACAAAGACCTGTGGGTCTGACTCGGGGCAGCTTGCTGGGTGGAAATGGGCAGCGCCGTCCATTCCTGGGCGCCCCACCTGGTGCTGGAGGTCTGCATGGACATGCTCGCACGAGGCCAGCGTCCGCAGGGCCACGAGACCCCTTGGCCTGAGTCCCCAGGAGGGCAGGCAAGGGAGCCTACTGACAGCAGCACTGTGGTCACTGCCCTCTGTGCCTGCTGACCATGCCACTGTCACCCTGGTCCATGTGAATTTCCTGAGTGTCTGTGGCTACACYGGCCACACGGCGTACATCGGCATGAGGGGACACACAGCTGAGTGTGCAGGGGAACTGACGCTGACGGCCCCGGGGGGAGTGTGAGCTGTGGGTGGGCACCGTGGCCCCGTGCAGTGTCCGTGAGCCCCCGCGGCCCCACACAGTGTCTCTGTGGCAAAGCTCTAATGTCGGTTCCCAAAGATGGGCATGCATGGAGTTCCTGGGCCACCCCCAAAGTGACCTGTAAACTCCTGGGATTGAAAGCTGAGGGAGAAGTGCTGAGTTCAGTGGGCTCCTCTTCTCCCGTGTACTTGGAGGCCAGATCACCAGACCTCTAGCCACCTGTAACCAACTCGGGCCACATGCATAATGAGCTCCATGTCACAAAAACGAGCCAAGCAGATGACTGAGGTCCAGGTGTGGGGCGGGAAAAGGAGCACTGGGGGCCTCCCAGGTGAGTAGCTCCCCAGCAGGCCAGGTGGCAGGCAGAACAGGCACCACCGTGGGGTGACACGGCAACGCGTTGAGCAGACCCTAGACACCCTAGTCCTCTCTTTTGTTGGAGACACATTTTAAACTGTTCTTTCAGCAATTTTGGGATATACAGGGCATGAGTCCCGTGGAGCAGGGTGGCGGGAGCTGTGGCTAAGGCCCTCGGGTGCCAGAGTCCAGTGGAAGAGGGTGGAAAGGGGGTGCCTGAGACCTCCCACTTGTTACGTCTTGTTAAGGCAGTGACAAACGTCATTAAGAAGAAACTAAGTGGAAGGGCACAGTCTTCCAAAGAAGAATCCCCTTCACACTAAGAGACCTTCCTGCCCATCTTGCCTTCCGGAATATTCTGCATGGACCAGCACCACCACTGGGGCCACCACTTCAGGGGACGAGCTGGGCCTTGTGATGGGGAGGCCACAGCCCTCCAGCCTGATGGAAGGTCCTGGGTCCCTGGAAGCCCAAGTGGTGAGTCAGCAGCGTCCACAGCAGAGTGTGTGCCTAGAAAGTGCCAGTCCCCCCCCACCATGACGCCCATATGGCAGTCACCTGGCCATCATTGGTCATGACTGGGTCCTGCCTCAGCTTGGCTGCCCAACGTGGACGCCAGTCCTGCAGAGTCGGTTCAGCTCCCTGACCTCCAGACATGGCTTTCCCTCCTCAGGAGGCCTCCTCCTAGGTGGCCTTTTCCCCCCGGAGCCACTGACTGGCCACCCTTGCTGCCTGTGCCTCCCTTCGTGTCCTGGAGGGGCCCACCCCCTGTGGGACAGCACTGCCTTCCTGCTGGGCTCTACCCAGTCCACTCTGCTGAGAAGCCCTCGTGTTGCCCACTCAGGCTCCTCCCCCAGGGTGCTCCTACCCCTGCTGCCACTCTCCTTGGAGCCTGGTGACAGGCGCCCGCAGGGTCAACGTGGCGGTCGGTACCATGGCACCTCGCCCCATGTGCTGCTTGCTAGATGACCTAGAGGGCCTGGTCCCTTGGCACCCTGAACGCACTCAGAGGGCACGGCAGCAAGACAGCTCTGGCTCAGGCAGACAACAAACCTCCTTAAACCCAGTTTTCTTGGCACCCCCTCGGGCAGAGGTTCCGTTTGAATCAGGCTGGCTCTAGGTATCAATGTGTGCATCCAGCACAGAATCCAGAGGGCCCCACCATACAGCAGGAGAGAGTCAGATTCTGACGTAGCATCCTGCAAGAGCAGACATAGGGGTTTTGTAAAAGACCTTCATCCCAGGACCGTCTGAACTTCCAACCAACGGCTTGGCGACAGGGAGGCCCAGGTCCTCTGCTCTGGGTCTTGTCTCTCCACCTGCCCTTCCTGTGACGGGCAACCCGTGCAGGACCCTGTTACGGGCAGCACCCAGTCAGTCTCCAATCCGTGGTCAGATGGACAATGCCCTGCTCCTGGCAGAAGCAAGGGAGTCTGATTTTAGGAACAAGGATTCTGCTCTGCCAGAGGTGTCTATTTCTATTCCAAGGCAGGCAAAAAAGAAAAGAGAACACTGCAGATTAGGGAAAGCTTGGCTTGTGAGGCAGCCCGGGTGGCTAAGAATAGCCCGGAGTCGCAGAGCGTGACGTAAGTGCGGCTCTCGCTGGTGGCCAGCGCCCGGGCAGGAGGAGCTGCTTCACCTGCTTGCCCCTCTGGCATCCCACGGCCCCCTGCAGACACTGGTGGAACCTGCCCTGGAGCACAGGCTGGGCTGGCCTCGGCCGGCGCCAAGGGGTGGCTTCCCAGCTACTTTGATGAAGGCACAGGCAGAGTCCCCATCTGGGCTGTCATCCTTCACGAGAGTCCACAGAGCTGTCCCTGAAACAYGGCACCAAGACCCAGGAGCCAGGTGCAGTGGCCCCTGCCTCTAATCCCAGCAGCTTGGGAGGCTGAGGCAGGAGGACCTCAAGTTCAAAGCCAGCCTCAGCCACTTAGCGAGGYCCTAATCAACTTATCAAGACCCTGTCCCTAAATAAAAAAATAAAAAGGGCCGGGGACGTGGCTCAGGGGTTAAGCACCCCTGGGTTCTATCTTTGGTGCCCAAATTAAATAAAGACCCCGGAGGGRTCATCCCAGGCTACTCTCCCTGGCTGCCTCCCCAGACTCCAGCACACCATGTCGACAGAGCCAGGACATTCCTCTGCCCCGTCCCCCACCTCAGAGCAATAGAGGGCCTGTGGGCGTGACCTCGGAGTGCCCTGACTCGGATGGCCATGGCCCCCACAGGGCCCTCACTCTGCAGCCCCAGCYTCCTTGGGCTTTTCCTGGTTTCTCCCAGTGACAGCAGGGGGTCCCTGGCTCAGTCTCCTCCCGGCCACATCTCCTGGCTGCTCACATCCCCTTCTGCACAGTGTTCATGACGGCCTCTAGGAGGTGGGCGCAGGACAGATGCCGACCTGCCCTGGCCAAGCCTCGGCCAAGCTCCCGCCTACCGCCTGCCCCTTCTTCGATGCCTTGATGCTGTGCACCCTCCTTGCCTGCGGGCACTTCTCACCCCCCTGCATCTCCACGGTGCGTGGTGGGGACTCAGAATGTGCTCGGGTACATGACACCTGCACCAGCACAGTCTCTCCCTCTTACCCCAGCTCAGCCCTGCACTTCCCTCCGGAYGGTCTTGCTGGGGAAAGGCTGACTTCTGCACTACCCAAGACAGTGCCTGTGAATGCTGGGAGGAATCAGTATTTTTATGGTGCAAAAACAAATTAAAAAAGCTCAAATAGTAACTTTTCAGTTATGATTTTCCAAAACAAAGTTTCAAAGATGAGCCAGGTTGCTTCCGGAGTCCACTCAAGGCGGGAAGCAGCTGAGCTCATCCTGTGCCCAGAGCTCAGCACCCGGCCAGGGCGCTCAGCTGCACAGAACCAGGAGGCCTGTTTCTGAAAGATTCCTGTGTTTAGAACAGCAGCCTTGTACTGGGGACTCTCTAACATTGACCCAGGACAACACACGGCTGCCGTCAGGCCTCCCTAGGGCCCAGGCAGGTGTGCAGGTGTCTCCAGAAGGTGGGGCCCGGCCCTGGGGTGCTGGGGGCACCTGGGGAGGTGCTGTGGGAGGGGTAAGGAGGAGCCAGGCGGGCAGGGGTGTGGGGACACCTGTACATCAGCAGCTGGAGGCCTGGTACCCATGTGGGCATGAGCAGGAATGCGCCCACCGGGCGTCTGCCCCAGGGATGTCAGAGCCACCTCCGACTCTGCCCACACCACGCTGGGACAAGTCTTATGTTCATTTACACCAGCGGGGTTGACCGGGTGGATGCCGCTCCCTCGCCAGTGTGGACTTCCCTGGGAACACCGGCACCCCTAACTGGGGACCTCRTGGTGCCTGACCCAGGACTGGCCAACCCCCAGGCCTGCCTCGGAGTTCAGAATGGCCTGCTGCGGCGGCGTGCACAGACGCACCTGAGGTCTGAGATGGTGAAATGGACGCGGGCTGTGAACTGGTGCTCACAGAAGCCTTGTCCAGACCTCTGGGCTGTGGGAGCTGGGAGGGGCTGATTAGGTAACACCCCACTGTAGACAAGTGGCGGCGCGGGCAGAACAGGCAGGGTCGGGAGGGGGCTTGCCCTCCAGGGACCTCCTCAGAGCAAGGGCAGTGCAGGAGGCTGCGCAGCACAGGCTGGCCCCGACCCGTGGCGGTGACAAGAGAGAGGCCTCGGCCCCCCTTCTCCTCACAGGTGGAACCCTGGGGGCACCTGTGGGCAGACGCTCGTCCCTCTGAAGCACCAGAACCCAGCGMAGCCCACGAGGCCAGCACCACGATGTCGAGGATGCGAAACCCAGAGCGGGGTGCCAGGAGGTGGACCCAGGGAGTGCAGSCCTCTGAGAGGCCTGGGAGCCTGCTCTGGGCACCCTGCTGGCAGACAACCAGACTTTTTGGGTCCCTTGCAGCTGTGAAAAGTCGTGTGGGTGGACTCGGTTCAGAAGAAGTACCCGAACTGAGCTGGTGGGGGTGGCGGGAAGCCGTGGCGGGAGACACGATCCCGTCTTGCCTCTAGAAAGCCTGCTACAGGCTTCTCTGCTGTGGAGGGAGCGCTCAGAACCTGCCCTGAGTGAAGGTGGTCCCCCAAGGGCAGGCGGGTTGCTGAGGAAAGCTAAGGSCTCTTGGTGTGTGAGCGAAGGAACCAAGAGCCCGTGGGAAAGAGTCACCTAGAAAGAGGTCAGACACTCTCCGACCTCTGTCCTGCAGGCTGTGGGACCCAGCCATCTGCCTGTGCAGGACTTTTGTGCTCCACTTACGAGTTAGTGCAATTCTAAAAAAGGCCCTAAGAGCCAGCCCTTGAGAAGGCAGACACACACACACACACACACACACACACACACACGCCCGGCATCTCTGGAGCCCTTGTGGGCTCAGTGCTGGCTCAGCCCACTCTGTGCTGGACCTGCTAGCCAGCCACCCACTGCTGAGCCCTCCCACTTCGCACAAGCGTCAGAGCATGGGCTGGAGAGGGCAGGGTGCTGGCCCTGGCCACGACTGAGGCAGAGCACTTACGGCTATCCGCAGGACCGACGCCTTCACGGAGGTCCATTTGTCCTGCCTTCGGTCTATCACCAGGATGAATCCAATGCCTGCATCCTGTAGGCTGAGAGGAGAGACAGCTGCAGTTAGCGAGAGCAGGCGGGAGCCTTGCTGCCCACRTAGCCTCCTGGGAGCCTCACAGAGAGTGACCCTCCTAGAATCCTGAGCCACTGCCGGGGCAGGGTCAAGTGCATGCCAGGGGGCCGGCGGCAGGGCGCAGGGGTCCGGGGGCCCATGCAGCCCGTCTGCACTCTCCCACACTCGCTCCTGTCTGAAGAGGACAGGTGTCGGCGCCTCCTGCCTGACACAGACATGTCAGCTCCAGCACACGCASAGCCCTCTTCCTGGGCTGGGCACTTTAGGGCCCATAAGAGCTGGTCATGGTCTTTTCCTGGGWGGCCAGCTGACGAAACCCTCAAAGCAAGTTTTAGGACCTGTACATCCCACGCGTCCCAGCATCTGAGGTCTCTGTGTCGGTCCACGTTAAACAGTCACTCCCAACAGCAGCACGGGGACCTCGGGAGGAAAGCCCTGAGGCTTGGGGAGGCTCGAGGGCCTGTGCCGGGAGTGCGATGCGGGCGCTGGCCCTCTGCAGCAGCATCGGTGGTGAAGAGGACAGCGTTCCTGGTGCAGCGCCTCCCGGCCCTCCGCTCCGCCCGGCAGGAGCCTGAGTCACAGTGTGGGAGCTCTGCCTCCGTTGTGACTTCTCACCAAGCCAATTGTGTGGTGCCAGCAGCTGCCGGCGCAGCCAATCCACAGCAGGAAGGAAGAAGTCAGGCCGGCAGAAGGCACCGACTCGAATTGCTAATTCCCACGTCTCTGAACGTGCCCAAGCCAGCCGCTTATGGGAGTTGGGGAAACAGCTCCACAGACGCTCTAACGTGCAGGCCGTGGGGTGCTCTGCAGGCGGCACTCTGTGAAGATCCTCTGATGCCCGGATATGACGCCMCGACTGTGGGGCATGAAGCACCATCCACCCTGTGACTGCTCACGCCAGGCGGGTGGTGTGGGCTGCACGTGCGGAGGGCAGTTTGGCTCAGTGACACATGAATAAACATGAGCTTTACTCAAAATAGCTCCCTCTGCTGCTGGTGGCTCAACAGCCGGGGGCCCGGCTGGTGCCACTGGGAGGGTCCGTGGAGCCGTGGAGTCAGGACAGACCCCCTCCCTGCTCTGGCCTCTAAGGCCCATCTGCTCCAGCTCTGCTGGCCTCAGGTCTGGTGTGGTGGTGGTGGGCAGGAGCCACGGGCACAGGGCAGCCAGACACTGGGGGTGGAYATCGGGGCTTCACATTTCCCAAGGCCTGCCCAGCTGCATTTGCTGCAGGACCCCATGGGGAGTAGGGGCACCCACTTCATCCAGAGATGGGGGCTAGGCAGGGGCTGCGTGGCGGGAGAGACAMCGCCAAGGTCAACATCTCCAAGCCCCTTGGTGACAACGGTGAGGGAGGCCCCGTCAGCCCTGCACAGACTCCCTCAGGTGTCTTCACCATTGACGGGGGAGATGCTGAGGCACAGAGAAGCCTGCACCCCAAAGCCMGGCAGCAAGAGTGGGGAACTAGCCGGGGCCTGGCAGCCACAGCCCAGGGGCCAGGTCCTCAGGCTCAGGCCTGCTGGGTGCTGGCACCACAGTGGGAGGTCAGAGACCAGGGATGCCAGCACAGGGCACAGGGGGCGGTGCCCTGGAGGGCAAAGGAGTCGGAGGGGAGGCCAGGGAGGGCTGGCCCAGGAAGGGCATGGGCCATGTGGTGGGGCCCATACACAGGGCCTGGAAGCCACAGGCTACAGAGAAGTTCCCTCCCTGGTCCCTAGCTGGAGGGCACCTGTCACTCATGCAGAGCTGTGCAGGGTCTCCAGTCTGGAGGCCCTTCTGTGGCCCTGCCTGGCCAGGCACTGGGCGAGTGCCAGTCGGCAGGCTGTGGGTGGGAGAGGGCCCGGGGGCCGCGGACACCCCGTTCACTGCAGTGATGCTATACTCTCTGGCTGACAAGGCGGGAGAGGAGAACTCCCTGGGAAGGAGAGCACGAGGCCCACATCCCTGGGCAGCGAATGGGCTGAATACCACCTTTCTTTCCCATTAGAAGTGGCCCAAGAATCAGAGGCCTCACTGTGTGCAAGAGCCTGGAGGGCCGTCCAGCCCTCCGGCTKTCTGCTCTCCACTCGTTCACAGCCCCCCAGACGCAGCATCACCCCAAGAAAGGCCTCCTRAGACCTGTCCACAGCTCAAAGGGCCTGTACCCTGCCCTTCTGCCCGTGCCGCCCAGACCAGCTGTGCACCAGCCCAAAGAAGAAGCAGACTGAGGAGAAGGGCCGTGTCCCCCCCAGTAGCCACACCTGCAGAGGCTGCTGGCTGGCTCCTGCCTAGGCTGCCGTGACTCCTCTCCACCCTGGAGGCTCCCACCTGCCACCAGCAGGACAGTGGCTGGCGGGGCAGCCTGGGCTGGGGAGGGGCCAGGGGAAAGGGCTGCCTAGGCCAGCCGACAGCTCCACCGCGCCTCTGCAGCAGGACACCGGTGTCTCCAGCAGGTGATGGCAGTGGCTCTCCTCCGGGGGAAGGGCCCAGGAGGACAAGCTCTGGCAACACCTCCAACGGTGACGGTGGTGGCTGTTGAGATGGCCACGCCACAGACCAGGGCCACTCAGCACAGAGCCCCTGGCCACAGGTGCTCTGAAACAGAGCCCCACAGAGCACGGGCATGACATTTCACTTTAGAGCTGAAGGCCATGGTGGCCAGTGGCTGTCCTGCTGGCTTGTGGTCACTAGGTTGACTACAAAGGGGAACGAGGAGGTGAGAGGAGGCACCTGAGGCCAGAGGAGGTGGCTGCTACGGCAGGGCCCAGGGACAAGACCAGGTAGCCACAGAGCTGGGACATGTGGGGGGTGGTCACTGTGGCAGTGGGATGGGGACTGAACGGTCTCCAGGATGAAGCAAAGGTGATACCCCGCCTGAGGTCTAAAGTGCTGCCGAGGAGGTGAGCTGGAGAAGGGTCCTCATGTGGGGTGTGCCCCCATCCGCAGGTACCCAGTGCTGTGGGAAGCAGCCATGGGGCACTGAGCTCTCCACGGAGCTCCAGGGCCAAGGGACAACAAGTGAGCACAGTTGTACTCAACACTGGATCACACAGTGGAGTGGACTGGGGGACCGCCTGGCCAGACATTCAGGAACTGTCACCAACGGGGCACAGTCCCACCCACAGAGGAGGAAACCCACTGAATCCAGGAGCTGG